AACTGGTATATTGCTGAGCTTTCTGTGAATCCTACTTATTCTACTTGATTCTAAAACCTATGAGGGTTGGGACTAGCTCTTTGATCTCTTTCTAACCCTGACCCTGTGTGGCCTCTTATATTATCAAAACCGTGAATGGTGATCTTGTACAGTGAATGGAAATCCTCTCCATAGTAGTACTCTGTTAAGGCCAGTATCCCTTTCACAATGCAGCTGTTTCATAAAATATATAATTACTGTTTGTTTTAATGGCAGTCTCGCTTTTCTCCCTCATCCTTGACAGTTCTACCCTTTAAATATCTCCATGTTCTATCAAGAGGCCAATCCCCCTTTTTAAAATGTGTGGTAAAATATACATAACATAAAATTTACCATTGTAATCATTTTAAAATACACAATTCAGTGCCATTAAGCACATTTACCATACTGTGCAACCATCACCACTATCTAGCCCCAGGACATTTTCATCACCCTATAAGGAAGCGCCACATCTATTAAGCAGTCGTTCCCTGTTCTATCCTCACAGCCCCAGGAAACCACTAATCTGCCTTCTGTCTCTATGGATTTACCTAACCTGGATATTTTATATAGATGAAATCATGTAATACGTGGACTTTGGTGTTGGCATCTTTCACTTGGCATAAAGTTTTCAAGGCTCATCCATGTTGTAGCATGTAGTGCTTCATTCCTTTTAATAGCTGATCAATATTCCATTGTATGGATTTACCGCATTTCGTTTTTCCATTGATCTGTTGATAAACATTTGGGTTTCCACATTTTGGCTATTGTAAATAAAGCTGCTACAAGCCTTCATGGACAAGTATTTGTTTGATACCTGTTTTTAGTTCTTTTGCATGTATATCTAGGAGTGGAATTACTATATCATATGATAATTTTATATTTAGCTTATTGGGTAACCTCCAATATTCCTTTTATAATGTTATATTGTATAACACATACAAATAGTACTAAACGTATTGCAATTAAACACCTTCCTTTCTGTCTTTTCCATAGCAAACTGGTCAGCAGGTCCTCTCAGTTCTACCTTCTAAACCCCTCTTTTCAATTTCCACTGAAATCATCAGACTCAGTATAGCTGACCTAACCACTTCCTAATTATGTGACTTGAGCAAGTTATTTTTTTTAAAGACTTTATTTATTTATTTGACAGAGAGAGAGAGAGACAGCGAGAGAGGGAACACAGGGGGAGTGGGAGAGGGAGAAGCAGGCTTCCCGCAGAGCAGGGAGCCCGATGCGGGGCTTGATCCCAGGACCCCGGGATCATGACCTGAGCTGAAGGTAGACGCTTAATGACTGAGCCACCCAGGCGCCCCTTGAGCAAGTTATTTAACCAGAGTCTCAGGTTTATTATGAATCAAATTGGGGAATAATCTCTATGTGGAGTTGTTATAATAATTAAGTGAGGTAGTACATATAAAGCTCTTAGCTCTGTGCTGGTACACGAGGGCTCAATAAATCTAGCTATTATTAATAGTCTTCTAACTTGTCTCTCTTCCCCACATTTGCTTTCCTCAAATACATTAGCCATACTGCTGCTAGAATAATTTCTCTAAAATAAAAATTTGAGCATGTTGCTTCCCCACGTTTTTTTCCAGCTTCATTGAGGTATAATTGACAACTACTACTACATCCTCTTATAACTCCAAGCCTACAGGATAAAGTCCCAACTCCTTAGCTTGATCCAAGGCTCTCTTACTTGGCTTCTCATGTCCTGTGAGGCCCTTTATATTTTCAAGACCAGTATCTGCATACCCACCATCCACAGGGTTGCCATCATGTCAGGTCATATGTTTACTCTTCTGTTTTTTTATTTAATTTTTTTTAAAGATTTTTATTTATTTATTTGACAGAGAGAGATACAGTGAGAGGGGGAACACAACCAGGGGGAGTGGGAGAGAGAGAAGCAGGCTCCCCGCGGAGCAGGGAGCCCGATGTGGGGCTTGATCCCAGGACCCTGGGATCATGACCTGAGCCGAAGGCAGACGCTTAACGACTGAGCCACCCAGGCGCCCCTTTATTTAATTTTCTATTTTGGCCTCTAAGGAGTTCCCTTTTTTCTTGAAAACTTAGCTATGTATTTAAAAGGGTATTTGCTATATTGTACTCTGAGTTTCTTTGAGTTTGGTTGGGAAAGGCTTTTCAGGTTATTTGGTCCACCCTATGAACAGAAATAAAAAGTCCTTTTTTAAGTTCTAATCTCATTTCCTATCTTTCTTACTCGCCTCTCATTTAGAACAACTCTAGGGCTAGAATTAGATTCAGTTCATCTTTATATTCCTAGGGTCTGGGACAGAGTGCTAATATAATATCTGTTTAATGAATTAATATTCTGCAGGCTACAATATTTATTTGGAGTACTTGTTCACTTTTAAAAACTCAAAACAAACTGATGACTACAGTTGTTAAATAAGAATCTATATAAATGGCAGCTGTTGAGTGAAGTTTGTGCATATGGGAATATTTCCCTGTGGCCATATTAGATTTCCATGGGTAATCGCTTTATGCTCAGATCACAGGCATTGATGTATCCTGGTCCCTGGTTTACACATGCTGCTTCCTCAGATTGTGTACTGTAGCCACAGTCTTTGAGCAGAATTATAAATATAATTCCCGTGGGAATGATGACCTTGGAGTTTTGGAACTCTGGGAAGTATTCTTAGAGTTGCTGTCGATTATTCACTGAGACATAACGACAATTAAATGAACGTCTTACATTTCTGTGGTTCTTTTAAAGGAACAACTTTATTGAGACATAACACATACCCTATGATTCACCTATTTAAAGCATAAAATTCAGCAGCTTTTAGTACATTCACTGAGTTGTGCAGCCATCACCACAATCACATTTAGCACGTTTTTATTATCACCAAAAGAAACCTTGTACCCATTTCTAGTCAGTTCTCAGACTGCTCTTCCCTTTCTGTCTCTTTAGATTTGCCTATTCTGGGCATTTCATGTAAATGGAGTCATGCAATATGTGGCCTTCTGTGTCTGGCTTGTTTTACCTAGGATAATGTATGTAAGATTCATCCACATTGTAGCATGTATCAGTACTTCATTCATTGTTATGTCTTAATAATATTCCATTGGATGGATAGCCCACATTTTGTTGATCCATTCATCAGTTGATGTCTATTTAAATTGTTTCTATGTTCTGGCTGTTATGAATAATGTTACTATGAATATTGTGCACAAGTGTTTGTGTGGATACATATTTTTATTTCTCTTGAGTATATACTTATGAGTGGAATTGCTGGATCATATAGTACCTCTATGTTTAATCATTAGGAACTGCCAGTCTGTTTTTCCATAATTCTTTTAACTTAAGAAAAAAATAGTTATATCCACTCATTTATCTTTATAATATGCTCAGATTTAGAGGAATTTAGAAAATTGTTGATATTTAGAAGAATTGTCCTCTCCATTTAGGAATGAGAAAATCAGGGAATGGGAAATTGAAATTGTTTGCCTGAGGTCACACAGTTAATAAGAGGCATGTCTCCTAACACCTGTAGTGGGCATCTTTCTTTTTGAGCTTCTAGCCATCATATGTATCCAGCTGCAGATATAAGGTGGGGAAAATATGGCTGAATAGCAGTGCACTAAAAATATTAGGAAGTATAAATCTTATAAGTTAATGTGATCTTAGTTGTATTAATAGAAACATCCAAATGGATGTTTGGAACAAGGAGGATATAATCCTTCTATTCTTTTTTTTTTTTAATTTTTAAAACAATTTTTATTTTAAAAGTTTAAAAATAAACTATTTTAGTGAAGTGTAATAGAGTAAAATAAACAAATCATAAGTATAAATCGCTAAATTTTGACAACCCATATCAAGACATCTGTCTCCTTGCAACTAATTCTTAGCACTTAACTATCCCATGGCTAAAATGTTGGTTTCTGTCTGGGATGTTATACTTTCAGATAGGCACTGAAAGGCTGGAGTTTGTTCAGAGAAGAACAACCAATGAAATTATTAAACACTATGATACAGGAATGAAGGTTAACGAGTGATTAGCCTAGAGAAGGGAGAAAACTTACAGGAATGTGATAGTTTCTTCCAGTATTAGAAGATCTATCATGTGGAGCATGTAGAAAAAAGTTTAGGTCTGCTGTCTTGCCCCAGAGGGAAGAAGCGGGAAGTTGCAAGGAGATAGATTTGTTTCAACATTTATATCTGAATTCATATCAGAATAATATGTGAAAATTGGAGTTAGTTGAAAATAAATTGGGCTGCCTTGGGAGCTCTCAGAATTTTCTATCAATAACAGTAGCCAAACAGGAGCAAGATGACAGCTAGTAGGGGATTCTGTAATGGTTATTCAGGCATCCTAAGGTTGCCTTATATGATTTTTGAGGTCTCTTTCAACCATGAGAAACTAATTCTTTGAAGTCTAGAGAAAACAAAGGTGGAGGAGATTACAGTTTGCAGAACAGTGGGTATGTATAATGTAAGGATGAGTGTATTATTATCCTCTTAACATTTGGTAGCCAAGTCAAAATTTGAGAGTGGTGAGGGACCTCACTGATTACTTTGTCTATGACCTTCATTCTATAGACAGGGACATGCAGATACAGATGTTATTCACCTTGCCCAGCGTCAAATACCCAATTACTGGCGGAGTCTGGATTAGAATCCATATCGCTTTAAAACAGAAGAATGATTCCTTTTAACAATTAAGAGAAAATACAAATAACTTGCTGGATAGAAATGCTGACAAATCCAAGACTAGGTTATGACTAGAGGCTTCATGTATTATTAATGAAAGCTAGATATGTTTAGGATGTCTTTCTAACCTTTAGAGGACAAAATCAAAGAGCGTGAATGACAAGCTTTACCACAAAACTTACCCCAGTACCGCTGTCAGAGAGAAGATAATAAACTGAATGAACCATTGATTTGACACAGTATGGCCTTTTAAGCTGTGCTATGTCTTTACGTTTTTTTCTCTGTCTGCCTTTTGTCATTGTTTTTGAATGTTCTATTATTTTCATAGCTTGATCCCACCGATCTTGTTTTATTCCAGGTTCACCTTTATCTCAGCGTCTTTAATGTTTCAATTAGCAATAATCGCGCCTCGGATAAACCTCATTGGCTACGATACTGCCACGGTGCAAAGCTCAGCGTCTTTAATGTTTAACACAACAAATGCATTAAACAGTAAACCATTCAAGACTTCTCACCTCGATAACAGTAAAAATAGTAAAGCATTTAAGAACAATGAAATAAAAGCAGTGCGGAGGGGGGAACCTGGGCTGGGTTGAAGCTTGGCTAGAGGCATGTCAGCCTGTCATGAGGCCTGTGCAGGACTGCTGAGGTGGTCGGGTTGGACACAAATGTGCTAGACTGGGGATGTGGAGCCCTTCTGTCCTCAAAATTTAGGCACATAGCATGAAAATATTGTAACAACCAGTGACCATGTAAGACTGCCACGAGAAATGGAATCGAGCCTTGATCATTGTTTTGAATATTTTAAAAGGAGTTTATCACAGTGTTTTTCTCTCTTAAAATGGATGCTGTTTAGGGTACTGGGAGCATCTTATTTACTTCTCTTCTCGTTGGGATTGCATGTCTTAATCTTCCCCATGGCATCCTGAAGAGAGGATAGTTGAACATAGTTTGCACATTTCCAGTTCCCTTTCACTGTTTTATCATCACATGAAATATCCTGTGATATTTATATATGCCCACATAGGCCCCAAATTTTTTAAAAAAGGGCATTTTAATCTGTCTTTTAAAGCATATAATCAGAAAGTGTTTGAGACGTTTGTCATAAATTATGAGCATTTTCAGCGAGTCACTGACATAGTATCTTCAGCCACAAAAATCCTGTGAAATTCAGTTTCATAATTGCATCACACTCCTTTGGTACCATTGTTGGAGTCAGAATTCACTGGGGGAAACACTAACTTAACTGCCAAACTTTATCTCTTCTGCCTTCAGCACACCTGCAAAGTGCTTATCATAATGGGAATTATGCTTGTTCCAAGGAGAGGCTATACTTGTGAATTAACCAATTAGCCAGTGTTCCATATCTTATCTTTCATTCCCAAGCCTATGAATTTTCTTTCCAAGTACTGACACTTGTGAGCTTGTAAATTGAAATGTGTGTATTTCTTTGCTTGACATCTCATCACTGCATAATACGACCTTCAGCTATGCTTTCAGGAAGCGATTATATATGTCTGGGTTTTAAAAAATCTGCATACTGCATGTGGAAGCTGATTTTTAAAAATAAATTCTAAAAACCCTCCCATCTTAGAGTGTTTCTTGGCACATGAAACAAGGTAGTCTTCAACAGAAATAAAAGAACACTGGAATGAAATTTGTACGAAGCACGTTTCTGAAAAGTCAGCACATTTGGCTGTCAGTTATGGACAAAATCACCAGAGATAAAACACTGGTCCCTCCAGAGAGGAAGACTGATGGTTACATAGCAAGAATCCTGGCTGATCTACAGTAGTTCAGTATATGGAGTGGAGGGGATCTCACCACCAGAAAAGTCACCTGAGAGTACTTTTTAAAAATACATTTGTGATGTACTATATGTTGGCTAACTGAACATCATAATAAAAAGATAAAAAATGAAAATACATTTGTTTTTTGCCATTGCAGATTTATTCTTGATTAGTGGATAGAGTGTATTTGAAGATTCGCTGCAATGTTGAAACTCACTTTTCCTTTCTGTGTTCTGATGTGGACTAGTGGATAAAGGGGGACTTTATTTTATAGAGTTAACAGGAACAAGAAAAAACATTGCATGAAACTTTGGTCTTAAAAATGACCATTTATTGTTATGTTGTCCCCAAAGTGCCAAGAAAATTAAAGAATTTATGAGAAAAGCAGATTTCAGTGCAATTTTAAAGCCTATTGCTATTTCTTGGATCACGAAAGGCCTTAGGATATTGGTGTTGACGTTTTGGGTTCATTTTCCTTCCTCATTGTCCTCTGAGGCTGTGTATATGCAGCAGATGGACCAGACTGTGGCACAGCTGACCCATTAATTTTGACCATATTCATTATTAGAAATTTCCACTGGTTGTGTGGCAATTCACATCAGCCACAAAGATGGCCAAAATTAATGGATTTTTCAATACCCTATAGGCCATTCTTTTATGGCACAAAAACAAAGACAAAATGTCAGTTAAGAATTCTATTCGAGGAGGGATATAAATCAGCTTGAGCATAATTTTTGAGCATGTACTAGTAATTTGTTTATTAATCCTCTGAGTTCTTAAACCCAGAGAAAGAATCTCAAAGGATCTTAGTAAATGTGAAATGTATTAGTATAGGAATGGACCATAGTTTGTATGTGAAAGAATATAACTAGTGACTTTTTTGCATTTATTATCACTGGCTTATTGCTGGGTTTCACCTACCAGTCTCTTTGTTTCCTGGAACAGACGATCTCAGATCTCTTAAAGATCATAGTGCTCATTTGCTTTTCATGGTGTTAGGAGAGTGATCTTTGTGGTAACACATACTTTCCTCAGTTTGTAGTTGAGGATTTTAAGCAGTCAGTAAAGGCTGAAAATTAAAGGAGAGAAAAATCCAGAACAAGCTGTTCAAAACTAATCAGTAGGAAATTATGTAAACTTAATTAACTAGGGCATCCAGGGAAGGGCTATAGAGTATAATGAAATATTTTTGAAATGAGGCAAAGCAGCCAAACTAAAACAGGGTTAGTTGAAGTGTTTCCAAAAGGAAGGGAGGGAATATCCTCCCTGCATAGGGAGCACTGCTTGACCTTGTGCCTTATTTTTGGCTGTGAAACTCTGTGCCAGGGTTCTCAGGAGGGAGTGGGTATACAAGGAGAGTCTGGAGCTGAGTGAACAACAACAAAAAAAGGCACGTTCTGGCTTGAACTTTTTATTGGATGGTGTTCATGTAGTAAAATGGATTCTGAAATACAGACATTATGGTGTAGCTGCAAACCTCTGACCTCTCATTTACAAATGAGCCAAAATGATCAGTCAGGATTTAGGATAAATCTGTAAATATCGAGTCTAGGTATACTAGGTGGAGAAGGACTAAAGGTTCTCTCTTTAGTGTTCAGATTCAGTTCAATTTTTTAAATCCCTACTTACATACTTTATTTTTTAAAATTCTTAAAATTTTGGAGCACCTGGGTGGCTCAGTCAGTTAAGCATCTGCCTTTGGCTCAGGTCATGAACCCGGGGTCCTGGGATCGAGCCCCACATCGGGCTCCCTGCTCAGCGGGGGCCTGCTTCTCCTTCTCCCTCTGCAGCTCCCCCTGCTTGTGCTCTCTCTGTCAAATGAATGAATAAAATCTTAAAAAAAAACCACAACAATTCTTAGCATTTTAATTCCAGTTAATTAGCATACAGTGTTATATTAGTTTCAGGTATACAATACAGTGATTCAACAATTCCATACATCACCTGGTGCTCATCACAAGTGCCCCCCTTAATCCCCATTACCTATTTCACCCGTCGCCCCCCCATAACCATCCATTTGTTATCTATAGTTAAGAGTCTATTTCTTAATTTGTCTTTCTCTTTTTCACCTTTTTTCCCATTTGCTCACTTGTTTTGTTCCTTAAGTTCCACATCTGAGTGAAATCATATGGTATTTGTCTTTCTCTGACTGACTTATTTTGCTTAGCATTATGCTCTCTAGCTCCATCCATGTCGTTGCAAATGGCAAGATTTCCTTCTTTTTTATGGCTGAATAATATCCCATTTTATCTATGTGTGTGTGTGTGTGCACGTGTATATACACACCACATCTTCTTTTTTATTTTATTCTTTTTTTTTAAGAGAGAGAGAGAACATGGGGGGGAGGGGAGAGAGAGAAAGAGAATCTTAAGCAGGCTCCACACCCAGTGCAGAGCTCGGCATGGGACTCGATCTCATGACCTTGAGATTGTGACCTGAGGTGAAATCAAGAGTTGGATGCCTAACCGACTGAGCCACCCAGGCTCCCCCTCATCTTCTTTATCCATTCATCAATCAATGGATACTTGGGAAGCTTCCATAATTTGACTATTATAAATAATGCTACAATAAACATAGGGATGCATGTATCCCTGAATTAGCAATTTTTTATTCTTTGGTTAAGTACCCAGTAGTGTGATTGCTGGATCATAAAGTAGATCTGTTTTTAACTTGTTGAGGAAACTCCATACTGTTTTCCAAAGTTGCTGTACCAGTTTGCATTCCCACCAACAGTGCAAGAGAATTTGTTTTTCTCCACATCCTTGCCAACACTTTTTTGTGTTGTTGATTTTAGCCATTCTGACAGGTGTGAAGTGATATCTCACTGTAGTTTTCATCTGCATTTTCCTGATGATGAGTGAAGTTGAGCATCTTTCTATGTGTCTGTTGGCCATATGTATGTCTTCTTTGGAGAAATGTCTGTTAGTGTCTTCTGCCCATGTTTTAATTGAATTATTTGGTTTTTGGGTGTTGAGTTCTTTATATATTTTGGATACTAATCCTTGATTGGATATATCATCTGTCTCTTTGGGACATGCTCTGAGATGAGAGAATAACCTCCCCACTGTGTGCCCCAGGTACTCTTCAGATTGCTGTTTCCACACTGTATGTCTGCAGGTTGTTTTCCTGCCTTTTCTCCAAGAGCAGGGCAGTGACCTCCTGGCACTATCCCAGTCATACTCACTGACCTTTAAAAATCCAGGCTTAAGCCCCGCTGGTTGCAAGAACTCACCAAACTTAGGCCCTCTCACATTCCAAGCCAACTGCTATGCGGATTCGTTTTCCCTGTGCACTCCCCTCTGTGTTAGTTTGTCTCTTGCCCTTCTCTGTAACCATAGCTCCCTCCCCACCACAGCAACTATCTGTTTCTCTTCCAAAATGTGTCTCCATAGTTCCTACTTTCTTTAGTGTGGCCTCTTCTCTACCTTTAGTTGTGGAGTTCTGCCCGTCTTCAGGTCAATTTCTGGGGTATTTAGGATGATTTGATAATTATCTAGATGTAGTCATAGGAGGAGGTGAGCCTAGGGTCCTCCTAATCTGCCATCATCCCAGTTCAATTTTTATAAATATTTGTTGAACACCTATTAGAGGTGTTGTCCTAATGCTGCATGGGACAAATAGAGGAGTAAGGCATTCATCCCATTGTCCTTTAAGAGCTTACAA